TTTATTTCAAAACTTAAAAGTTCAAGTTTGGCTTCAAACTTAAGAATTTTGTGAAGACAGATTAAACCAGTTTAAATGTCATTATTTCGAATCACTTTAGGTTAATTGTTCCCATCAAAAATACACTTAAAGAAACTGTTAAATCCTTCGTTCAAAGCTGGTTGTCGCTGACCTGTGAAATTATTGTCAATATTGTCCACATAAATTCATTAAACCCGAGGACTGACTTGAAAAAAACAAGTTCACAGAGCTTTGAGTAAAGGGTTCAGAGCACTGTGCTGGAGTGCATTAGTAGAAAATGAGAATCTCTCCACCTGAGGTTTCATTACAGACTCCAAACATTTGTTAGGTGGCCAGTATCAATTCCACATATATTAAAACCATTTATTTTCCAGGATCACAGTCTCTGAGAGGAGCTGCTGCAAAGTTTTAACAGTGAATTCATCGAGGTCGAAGGAATCGTATACAGAGGTTCAGGCAGGTGAAAGTATGGTTGTCTGAGTTTTGACAGAAAAGCGAACCAGGATTCAGCTGAGAGACTGTTGGGGAATCGATGATGCGTTCAGTGACACAGCAGCTTCCTCCGTCCAGTCGATCCTCCAACCTGCAAAAACCTTCGACAAGCCAGTGAAAACTATTATTATTAACTATTATTTATTCATTCAATGTTTCTGTTGTTGTTTTCTGGAAAAATGTGTAGCTTCACATTGTGATCGAAAAATAATAAATACGAGTTTTATAAATAGCAAAATTAAATCTAATGAATTGAAATTTTGACACAATTAAAAATATAAATAAACTAAAAATGTCAATAATTTAAATGAAAAACATTAAAATTAGTAAAATTACATTGAATTAGAAGGTCCAGTGTGTAACATTTAGGAGGATCTATTGGCAGAAATGGAATATAACGTTCATAGGCTTATTTTTATTAGTGTATAATCACCTGTAAGTGATGTTTTTGTTACCTTACAATGAGCCATTTTTATCTTTATTATCTGCGTTTTATTAGCCACCGTAGATTCTCCTTTGCATTTGAAAGCAGAGGGTGAGGCGAAGGAGTTGCAACGACACCACCAGATGCCACTCAATCCTACTGGACCTTCAAATAAAGTGTAGTTAAATGATATTCTATTTTAAAAATGCAAATAAAATGAAATCAAAATAAACTGATAAAAAATGTATTAAATTAAATTTAAAACTGGGTAAACAGATTTTTTGTTTTTCTTGTAGTTACTTTTAGCCTCAGGATGTTTGTGAACACTAACCCTGAGCTTTTGTTTCCTGTTATTTATCTCTACACAAACTGCACACAGTTCATAAACACATAAACAAATAGAAGTGTGACTCCTGCTGACCTGCATATCCAAACACAGATGGCCTCACAGTGTCGTGTTCAATCAAGAGCACGATGGCCTGCAGGGACTCAAATATCCTCCCACCCTGTGATAAGCAACAATAACAACACATAATAATAATTATAATAAAATCAAAGTGCTTATTGGTACCAGTGTGCAAAAGCTTTAAACTAGATCCTCTACCTTGAATCACTACAGGCGAGATCTGAGGTATTTCTGCTGGAATGTAATTAGCTGAATTTATCAGTTTTCCCTGCATGCACTGCACACTTTACACATATAATACATTTATGAAGCACACAGCGCTGCGGGAATGAGAGTACGTAATGATCAACACACATTCAGCCCTTAATTAAATTAAATCAAATATTAAATCCCATTAAAATAATAAAAGGAAGCCAGTTTGAATGATTCTTTAAACGAGAGTTGAGTGAGAGCGAGCTGAGTCTCCGGCTCCTGCAGCTGAGAGTCGTAAAAAGGAATCATTAGAATCAAAATTTTACTGGAAAATCAAACCGTGTATGTTTGTTCCTGGTCTGAGTTACTGCATTAGAATAGCAGATAAAAACTGTGTATTCTGTTCTAATAATAGTTTCTGTTTAATGAGTATATTGAACACACAATTTGTGGCTGTACTTTACTCAGTTTAATCAGTGTAAACCCCATCTTGTATCTGTATCTGTAGTGTGTACTAGCAGCAGGAAACCATCTCTCTTGCGCACTTACTTATAAGAATACATGTTAAGCCACTAGAGTGATACATCGGCTGACATATTGGTATCGGTTTATATGTTAATCAGTATGGTTTGATATGTTTTTTTGTAGTATATATTGTAGAAAAAATGTGTCGCTGCAAAGTTTATCTAGCAGAGGGCGCTGTTGGTGTTTTTCCAACTGAATTAGCTTTGGTTCTTGAACCGGATAGTTACTTGATTAGCTGTAATCAAGTAACAGACGCGTGTTTTCAGCTCTTGCCAGGCAGCCCAACTTCCTCTCTTACTTTCTCCTTTTGTATCCGGTCTCTGTATAGATATGAAGCAGTATTACAGAGCTCTGGGTGCACACAGTGCAAGTAGGGGTGGCACCTTACTGGCTCTCAGCAGACAGATCGAAGAGAGAGAATGAAGTTTAAAAAATAAACTCTGAGCTCTCCTCTTTGCTGGTTATCATCTGTGGGCCGGCAGCAGCTCTGTCTCTCTGCTCCTCCCCACACAACACAGCAAACAACCAACAATATGTGCTAAAAGCGCTGTGCACCGCAAATGGCGAGAACTCGCGAAATTCGCCTCATTCACACTTCAGTGTGTTCTCGCCATTTGCATTGACTGTAATCTACTTGCTCGATAATTTTATTCGCCTTTGGTGGCAGCGCAGCATGAGAGAGAGAGAGAGAAGCAGCTCTCGGCAAAGTCAACAGGAATAGGTTGACGGCTTATATTAGGGATTACTTAAATTATTTAACATGTAGAAGAATGTAGAATGTAGAAATTAACTTCAATATTATTTAATAAAGTCATTTGTTTAAAAAAATAACCTCCTGAGTACCTTTGCAGAGTCATATCGGTGAGAAATTGGTCCACACTTCACAGGATGGTACACAATATAAACGTAACTCGGTTCTCTTTGTCGCTTGCAAGCAAGAAGAAAATGTTTTGCTGTGTCTAAGACAGCAACAGATATAATGCACCATGAACTGACAATAATTGGCAGTATTTTGTGCAGTGAACTTTGTGCCTCATAGATGCAAGTAGCTCTAGCAGAAACCAACCTGTTGCATAGAGATAGCACCACCGGCAAATGTCAAGCTGTAGCTCAGGTGGTAGCGGAGGGTTTGTATCCTCGAGCAAGACAATAAAACACAGACTGCTTCAAAATGTGGGAGGAAACGTCTGAGGCACTTTGAACAAAGGCTTTAAAGGTAATGTAACATTAACGGTAAAGTGCAGTAACATCAGGAGAAATGTTGCTTCTAGGGCTGCAGCTATTCATTAATTAAGTAATCAAGTATTTCATTGATTAATCAAGTAATCTCTCATGTTATTGTGCTAAACTAGTTTGGACGGACACAATGTGCAGTTTTCATTTTGTTTCCCAAACAAACAAACTATAATAACTCAGCACCTTAAATCTACCTCTGTGTATGAAACGTGCTTTATAAATAGAACTTCTTCTCCGCATCTCGACTGACCTTTCTCCTCCCCAACCTTTCCCCAGGCCACATTTCCAGCACCTCCTCCTCCTCCTCCTTCTCCTTATTACATTTTCTTTCCATGTTACATAAGATGCACTCTGGAGGTGTCACAGCACAGCTGTGATCTGTGGCCCGAGGGCTTTATTGTGTCACACAGCGTGCAGCAGTATCA